TTTCCCACCCCCCACCCCGAATGAAGATCAGGCTCTCATGTGCAGTAACCATTTGATTCTCCAGCGTAGTATGAAAGACGAGATAACTAGACTGCAGACAGTGCTACGTTGTCTTTGACTTCTGGATATGGGAGGAAAAAAAAACGTTTTTGGATACTATACACTAAAATTTAGACTTGTGGCTGCTGCAGAACTACAAGTCCCATAAGGCATTGCAAGACTGATAGCCAAAGGCAGATGCATGATGGCATTTGTAGTTTACCTATACCCTGATTGAAGGTCTGGTGTTAAATGACCATTACTCAGAGATGTGCCTGGGCTTGGTGTGAACCCAGTTCACCTGAGTCTGCCCAAAACTGACCAGCCACCCCTTCTGCCTGACCCAGTCATGGGTGAAAGGGGCATTCCTTGCCCCTTTGTGATGTATAGCTGTAGCACAGGAAAGGCACCTCTCCACAACTGATTGGGTCAGCAGTAAGCGCACCTTTGTGATGAAAGTTGTACTTGTTCCAGCAGCTTCTACAACATTCCAAAATGTTCTATAGAGAAGCCCGGTTTCCAGCAACACGGGCCACAGCCTTTTGGCTCGGAGTTCATCCCTATGGGACATGTTGCTCATTCAGCCCACAGCTGAGCAGGTCCTGTCTCCAAATATTGCCCTCTAGTGGTGGCCCAGGGCAAGGAGGGTGGGGGTAACGTTGAAACACTTTAGCTCCAGCTCCTGTCTGTCTGATATGGGGTACAGCCCACTAAATAAACCTCAATGTTCCAGCTTTCCTTCAGACTGATAAATAAGGCAAATGGAGTGCTGACACTGAGCCGGATGGCATAGTGCACACTGAATACTAACGGGAAGTGTCCCCTGGACTCTAAGGTTAAGGCTCGGCTGCAGGAAGACACCCTCTAGTGTACAGTCATGGAATAGCCAGAGAAGGCTCCGCTCTATTACAACTTGTCAACTGAGCTCACAGTCACGCATAGGGGATAACAGGGGAACCAAACCTTTCCAAAATGTGTTGTGGAGGGCGCTGCTTTTACTATAGTATGGCAGGAGGCTTTAGAGCAGTGACAGGCAAACTCTGGGCCTCGCCCTGTGGTGGTGAAAGTACAACTCCCATCATGCATCTCCCTCTGGGAGTCATGCCTGTGGCTGTCAGAGTCTTGCAATGCCTCATGGGACTTGTAGTTTCACCACAGCTGGGGGCCCAGACTTTGCCGACCCCTGCTTTAGATTCACCCAGCGGCCAGACCTCCACCTCTTTTATCCACAGAACCCTTTTATTAGTGTGCAAAACCCATCCCCCTCCTAAAGGTGACCCACTTAACACTGTAAAACTAATATTGCATTGCAGTCATTAAGGCTGGTTCTGGTTCCCAAGTTAAAAAACACAAAAGTCCATTATGGGTCACAAAGTATTAAATAGAACAAAGGATCGGCTGTGCAAGCGTCTCATCAGAGGTTAGCGCTGTCCCTCTGATCAGAGGGGCCTAAGCTGGCGGCTTACGGAAGGCCCCCCAGGCGTGGAAGCATCGGGTGAAAGCGTGAGGCTCGTTCCCCTTCCGGACCAGGCGCAGCTTCCGTGGGTGCTCGGTGTCCTTGGCTCTCATGTGCTGGATATAAACCTGTTAGAAGACACAGAGGTAACTATTTATAACTTCTCCTGCTGGGGACATGACTGGCGCCTCTTCATTTTATTAGTGTACTACGCTCAGTAATCAATATTGCAGCAAAAGGCGACCCGCACCCCAGGACATCACAAACTACTTTGTATGATGCTCATCATTTATATAAAACATTTACACCCCCCACCCAGTACTATTAGATTGTAAGATGTTGCTGCTTTTTGGAGAATAGGGGCCAAAGCACACCAGCCGCTGTGCTAAACCCACAGGGACTGGTGTGCATTGCCCAGCCCATCACACTGCGTCTGGCTCTTTTCCTTTTTTTTGACAGATCTTTATTGAAATGTCACAAGTTCTATGCGCACAGCGAGGTTGTTGTTCCATGGCCCTCTGCTCAAGAAAAAAAAAATAGTACAGCATGCTGAGTTTTTTTTAATTATTATTATATTATTATTATTTCCCCGGTGCACACCACCGCATTTCCATCTTGCAGATGTCAATCTAAAGGTTGTGGGTGGAGCTAGGCCCAGCTATTCACACCAACCTGCCCAGTTGCTCTGGGTTTAGCGCACATGTGTTATGGCACTCCATTTATATGAATGGGCTACCATGGATGAAAAATGGCACCCACTGTATATTTGGTAATGCAGCGCACATTGTAGTGCCTAACTATGTGTAGCAGTGG